TCTTGTGATGTCTTCGTGTGAGTAAAAATACCAACATTTACATAACATCTTCACCTCCTTGTAGCTATATCAAATATTGTCTAATCAATGTCATTGCCTTTGGTAACATTTGGGAACCTATGCTTTTGGTTTGATGTTGTAGAGTTTATATAGGCCTATAGGCTATTTTGGACATTAACAGCCACTAAATAACATCAAGACTGATCGTAGCTATATTTTAACCAGAATTATGAAAAACAAGCATATTAGCTGCCTGAATGTAATATGGAGGCTGAATTAAACTCGATGAAAGAAAATAGAGCGTGTACCGCATAATAAGGGCAAGAATTCACTGAGTTGTCCTCGCCAGCTACACGCATGCCAAATGCCAATCCACAAGCAAACGGGCGTGTTGTGTTCAACTTGAAGCGGCACTGTGCACGTGCGCAGACCAGGCGCAGACCGATCGGTGTATGACATCAAAGTACCGCGAGAGCGACGGCTGCGTGTGCTTTCGAATTGTTCTCGCGATACTCTAATGTCATATAACGATCCGTCTGCAGCGCAGCTATGGAGCAGCGTTGCTTCAAGTAGAACAGACGCAGACCTCATTTAAAAAACAAACAAAAAAAACGTACTATTCGTTAATCTTATCAGTAGGCCTATTTTTATTACATTACATGTCAACGTGTAGGTAAAGATTTTGTAACAAATAATGTTTAAAACACATATACACTCAAAAAATTTAGGGTCACTTCACTTTTTGAACCCAAACTTTTGAAAAGTAGTCTATATATTTATTTATTCTATTTATTAAGTTTTATTTTGACAACATTAGGCACAAAAGTTATTTGTCAGATTAATTCTAGAAGCCTGAACAAAAGATCAATCTGCCTGATGACAATGATGACCTCGAGCCTGAATAAGAGGGAAATAAGTTGCACATGATTTCAGCAGTCTGATAAAGCATAGCATTTGGACAAAATATGTGAATTTCTGTGAATCAAAAAACAGTCAAGACAGAGAATCGGTGTCCTTATCAAAAGATCCCGGCATCCACAGGCTATGTGCACATCATGTGCAATACATGCATTTGGAGCTTTTGCGTAAACATGAGGCACATACTTCAGTGAGATGACTCATCCACAGACCACCGCTTCCTTTCCAAAATCATGGATGACATGGTCATATTGCATCAGTTTATTTATTTATTTTTATAATGGTTTTACTAGTGGTCTAATTTGTACCCTAATGTAATGTAATATGATAAATGAATGAATGGAACTAGACACAGATGGGTCCTCTTTCTTCCTTAATAAAGCAAAATAACCTCCGTGTGAGAAATGTGATAAAAGAGCAAATGAAACTGAGCAAGTGTTCTGACAAACTGATCTGTAATATACATTGAACACATACTGTATATATGTTATAAATAAAGAACTGCATAATAGGTCCATTTCAAAAAATACTTAACTTAAAAATAAATGAAATATATTCCTATAGCGTTTATTTTGCAATGTTTCAATCCCGTGGATCTTCGACAACTGATTCATGCTTTTATCAGGCCATGTTTAAGTGTTGTTGTATGTGTGTACATTATTTTCTTTTCATAATATTAATAATATTACCTCATACTATAATAGTAATTATTTTGTACCATGTTATATCAAAGTACCATGGTATCTGATATCATAACTGTGCAACAGTACTTTTTGTAAGGATCATCTGTGATTTTAATTAACATTGGAAATGACAATTATGTCACAGTCATTATTTCCTATAATTGAACAAAAACAAAATAATTGCTGAAATGCTTGTGTATACTGGTCTGCTTTCTTTAGATAAAGAGCACTTAACCAACAACATTTATCAACAACATCCCATATGTTTGTGTGTCTGCAGGTCAGGATGTTTGCACTGTTTCCATAAAACCCTCATCCTTAGCAGATCTTCCTGCTGTCCGAAATGAAACACAATAACATCAGTGTGATGACCTCACATTAGCCCCCAACCTCGCTGACACCCGTCCGCCAGACCACTCTGATCATGTAGTGGCTGTGACCGCTGCTGGAGTTTCTCAAGCTGAGTGTGGCAGTGGCTGAGGTTTGCTAACCTTCTTGTTAACCTTCTTTGTGTGAGAAAAGCGTGCCGTACCTAAAGCATCATCATCAGCAGTTCATTTGCTGGTACTCAGGAGGACATGTGTGATTACCGACCGGCAGCGGTGAGGAGGTCTCAGCCCCTCTCTGAGTGATTACTAATTACAGTTCGGCTGCTAGTGGAGGAAACTGACCCCAGCCAGAACACGACGCCACATTAAAAGTTCACTGCAGAGGGAAAACACTGCGGTTTATAATGGAGGGGTTCAGTTTGTAGCCCTAAAACCTTGCTACAATGAATTATATAAGAACATACTGTCGCAGTTAGATTCATCAGTAAAATAAGGTCCTTGGTTAATTTTATTTGAAGAAGTTCACATTTTACTCAACAACACGAGAACTGTGCAAAATATGAATCGAACTAGCTATTTCAGTTCATGAGTGTGAATCTTAATTAAATTGGAAACACTCCTCAGGAAGTTGAATTGGAAGAGGAATTTACTTAAAAAAAATTCAACACAGGTGATGCATTTTGGGAAATGAAGTGTTCTTCAATAAATATACTGAACTGTAAACCCTAATGTTGTCTTTACTTAAACAATCAAGTGTACTTGACTAAACATTACTTTAAATTTAGCATTTTGGCCCTGTCACTCAAAAATATAAGTTCAAATAACTTATTTACCTTCAAAATACATAAACTTAAGATTTCAAGTGCTGTGAGCTCAAAATCATGATTCATCCTTACAAAAGGTCATTTTCACAAATGTTGTTTTCTTGACTGTGAAATGAATACATTCATACATGCTTTCTTCAAGTGCAAGGTGTCATTCTTTTTAAAACCTGATACTTTAAACTTGATAAATAAACTTTAATACCCATATACAAGTTTTTTTGTAATACACAGCAAAATTCCCTGTGTTAAATTTACCCTGCTCAGTGTTTATATGAGTCCACACTCAAGAGTGTTGGTAACACTGAAGCAGTGTTAAAGTTAATGAGATAATTAAGTGATTAATTGAGTGATGATTGAGCATCATTTGTACAAGTTCTGAAAGTTAACTATATGTGAATTTAGTGCTGCTCCTGAAGCAGAAAAAATCTGGAAGAAAAAAAAATATGTGAATGTCAAATGGAAAACAAAAGAAGATTTAGGGAAGTGAATAGATTCATCTTCAGGCACTTATATTTCTGTCAGACTGAGAGACATACGCTTCTTGCTCTTTATTTGCCTTGACAAAGAGAGGCAGAGGAAAGAATGGATGCGGCTTAAAGTGACAGCAACATTAAAGGATGGCCTTCTTCTGGCATCTTGCAGGGAAAGTGACATTTAGAGGTGCACCCTGAGAACTGTCTGTTTGCTGCACTGGCCTATGGAATGCATGAATAGTGGTCATTTTACATCAAATTGATGGCACTGTGGGGAACTTAAACCTCAACAGGTGAAATGCAACCTGGGCACATTCTGTCAGATGACTGACATGTTGGAGAAAAGCTTGTGCTGCTTTTATGTGAATGAGAGACAGGCGAGAGCTTTCACATATTCATGCGGATGCAATGAAATCCTCAAACTGCATTTAAGCTGTACCTGAGGCGGCCCAAATCTATGCCTGTGAAAATATATTGCTTACAAATAAAATTATATTTTTTAGATGCTATCATTAGAACAAATTAAAACTGCATTACATTGCATTCTATCTATCTATCTATCTATCTATCTATCTATCTATCTATCTATCTATCTATCTATCTATCTATCTATCTATCTATCTATCTATCTATCTATCTATCTATCTATCTATCTATCTATCTATCTATCTATCTATCTATCTATCTATCTATCTATCTATCTATCTATCTATCTATTACACTGCAATTTTAGATAATATCTAATTTTACTCAGGAGTAGAATGTTCTAGTGCAAAATAGTCTGCAATTCCATGCCATTATCTTCCCCTGCAATGAAAGGACATTTTCACTGTTTTGACACATGCCACTCAGGTGACAGGGTGCTGCCCAGTATTTTTGGAGTAGACCTACATGCTATTCAGAGCTGGGAGGAACAATTTTTCAGGAGAAATCTTCTCACTACCATCAATTCTTTCACTGCAATAAGCAAGCTTGTGCGCCATTCAGAATTCATTTGAGAATGCCCTTTAAATTCCAATTAAATTCATTTGAACTGAGATTGCGAATGTAATGCATAAATATGTTAAAAAAATGGATTGAAATTCAAAAAAATTTAACTTTAGATGCATAGATTCTTAATTTCCCAGAATGCATTCAAAATCCAATTCAACTTCCTGTGACCAATTCAATTTAAAGTCACACTCATTATCATGATCTTATCAGACAGTAGGAGATTAAGATATATATTGTATATTTTGTGATAAATATAATGTAAATAATAATATACATTAAATATTATGTTACATTTTTCTCAATAGATTTTAAACCATAATAAACTATATTAAGTTATATATTGTATCTTATATCTTAATAAAAATATAAATGTTTGTGCATTTTAGATCTATATTTAAAAAGGCATAGGTTGAAGACAAGGTACTGTAGAAGAGGGCAGGAGTAGAGAAGGCATGGTCCTAAATAAGACACTCCCCCCAGCTACACTGTGATTGGTTGACCTGAACCAATGAGTGGTAAAACAAATGAAGTGTCACAGTGGGAGATTAGATAAATAAGTGAGTGAGGAGCAGAAGGTGGATTCGGGTTTATTTCAATTTGGCCAGATCACTGGAGCGTTGAAGGGTCTCAATCCCTAATGACCAGAGGGGGATGGGGGTGAAGAGATTGAATGGACTAGTTTGGAGGAGGGGAGAATATACAGATAAATGGATCTGAGATAAAGGAAGGATTAAACAGTCAGACAGATACAGTCGCCACATTCAGTCTGAGTGATCAATAGATGATACATTTTTATTCAAACAATCAAAGTATGTTCCATCTCCAAGCAATCATATTATCTTTGTCTTCTTGGAAAGGTAGCTCTGATAATAAAAGTTACTGAACAAAGCGATTAGGCTGAGGGCGTAGCCGAACACCACCATATTCATGGAGTCAGGGAAGTCACAGTCAGCATAGAGGTTGAATGCAGTGTGAATGGTCACAATAAAGAACTGGAGCTGAGGACAAAGAAAGACAGAGACACAAAAGTGACAGATCCTTCATATTAAGGCATTTTTCCTTTAAAAAAATCATAATGAGAGTCTCACCAGCTGGAGGGAAGTGAGGTAGCGTTTCCACCATAAGTATTTCTGCATCTGGGGGCCCAGTGCTGCCAGGCCATAGTACATATACATCACCACATGCACAAGAGAGTTTATGAGGCCAATAAGGAATGCTGAGGAAGAGAGAACAACTTTAGCAAATCATTCACTGCCTTGTCACCCTGAAGCAATAGCAAACATCCGTAAGATATTTGTCATTTCATCAGTTGCCTAACATCAAGACAATACCACACACATTTCAGAATACTTTCATCATCTATTTCTGGAGCAATATATCACCTAGTGGTGTCAGAGTGACACTGCAACTAAATCAAACCCAATAGATGTCCAATTAAGAGCTGAATAATTTCTTAATTACATTAATACAGTGGTGTCCAAAAGCAGATAACTAGTAAAAATGCATCTACTGTATTTATTACAAATTAACGAGTTTGTTTGCCCATAAAATCTTTAAAGGGATACCCCACCCAAAAATGAAAATTCTGTCATCATTTACTCACCCTCAAGTTGTTGCAAACCTGTATGAGTTTCTTTCTTCTGCTGAACACAAAGGAAGATATTTTGAAGAACGATTGAAACTTTGGCACCATTGACTTCCATAGTATTTTTTTTCTACTATGGAAGTCAATGGTGCCAGACAACTGTTTGGTTCCAATCGTTCTTCAAAATATCTTCCTTTGTGTTCAGCAGAAGAAAGAAACTCATACAGGTTTGCAACAACTTGAGGGTGAGTAAATGATGACAGAATTTTCATTTTAGGGAGGAGTATCCCTTTAAGATATTAGGTTAAACTTATTTGGCATGCTGTCCACTGGAGAGGGGCTCCATGAAGCAGCTTCAACTCGAGCTCTGATATACCCCCCCACAAGGTACCTAAGATTAAGGTGGAGTTTGGGGAGGTGGAGGCATACTGGAACAGCTGATGCTATGGGAGAGGTAAGCGGCTGCTTATATACTCAGGCTGTTGATTGAAAGATTAGATTGGCACACTCCTCCCTAACTTACGTTTAGGAACTTCATTTATAGTGTAATCATAACATAATTGCGAGTGAAAATGAACATGAATTTCAGAATTTGCTTCAATGAACTCCAAGATCGTGTTCTCCAGCATGATTTGCGATGATCCAATCAGCATCTTAGGGGTCAATATTCTGTGCAGGTTTATTTCAAGGTTTAAATTATATTTTAAATGTTGTCTCAGACTTTTGGAGCTATACAATAATGCAATCTAATAGTTAGTTTTACAATCTGATTAAAGAGTCAAATTCACCTACTAAACTAAACACAACCTGTATGCACAACGTGTCGTGTATATTGTCTTGTTTGAGAGTGCATTGTGCTAAGTGGACTGCTGTATGTAAACACAATAATCAGTTTTACTCCTAGGTAAGAACACTTACACTGCCCTCCCGCAACATACTTGACCCCGGCCCACCAGTTGAAAATCATGGTGCCGTGATGATACACATGCAGAAAGGTCAGTTGATTGTTCTTCTTCCTCAGAATGAAGAACATCTGATGATAATGACATTTACTTCTTAATGTAATAAAACATCATCATAAGACATTCATTAACAATGTGATCTGATTTCAAAGGACTAGATAATTTACTTACAGTATCAGTAAGTTCAATGACTTTTGAAAAGTAAAACCACCAGCACACTCTGGCCATCTGCATGGCATCAAAATTGCACAGCATTAAGTAAGTCAATAACTATAATAATGGTAATTCTTATTCTACAATTGCATATGTGTGGAAAAATGCAAATTATTTGTATAAAAATAATTTGCTTACCCGCATTGCAAGGGGGTTTTCAGAGTAGTCCACAGGCTGACACAGCAAGCTGTAATTTGCCAACCAAGATGATGCTGTGAACTAAAAGCAAAACAAACATACATACATAGGCTACACACATAAATACATATGAGTGTATTTATGAATTAATAAATTAATATGAATGAGATTTCATAAATTAATAGGAAATAGGCCTATGTTAGTTCCACTGTGTTTAGTTCACTAGCGCATACCTCATAAAACATGTAAGCGGAAAGGCACACCATGGAAAAATTGTAAATAATCAGAATAGCCTTGATGTTGACTGGTTCTCTGTAAGTCATCAGTTTGGGGCCAAGCCAGATGATGACAAGGTAACAGAGGAAGATGCCACAGACAGGCAGGGGAGAATAAACTAATAGCCATCCATCTGTCCTCTTGTCTGGGAATTAAAGAACGAATTGCATAATTAGCTCGTTAAACTTCCTAATATAGTGGTTAAAGTAGTTTAGAAAAGTTGTTTTTAATACTGGTTCGTCAGGACCAATTAGTCAAATGTAGGCTAGCCTACACCGGTGTCGGTGTAATTGTGTAGCTAAGTAAAACATACCGGTAACTGTTGTAGCCTACTACTTGTGTGGTAGGCTACACTGCTCATTAAGCTGTGTATGAAAATAATAAAGAGCATAATTATTTAAAGTAAAAGAATGGACATGCAAGTCCTTGAAAAATACCTCCGTTTTCTAGGACCCATTGGTAAAGTATCTGGAGCCTTTGCCATGTCGACGGTGATACGGACACCTGAGCAATTAATAATGGAGATGAGACGTGTCTGTTAATGTATAGGCATATTGTAATAAAAAATAATAAAAAAACAAAAAACCAAACCAAACCCTAAATAATTTTAGTCACTCTACCAATAGGCCTATCCGAGAAATGGCAGGCTATATTAACGAATTAAGAGTAAACGGCTTACCATTGCGCTTGATGTTCATTCAGTAATGCCTAAACATCGCCATCTATCGGTTGCCTTTAGGAACAGCGCGAGAGTTCGTTGCTGGGAGTATAGCCTAACTTCGGGAGTATAGCCTAACTTCAGGAGTAACTGCCTAAAATGTCAATTATGATCGCTATTTAAGTTACACGAGAGAGAGAACATGATGTTATCAGCGGAATTACGACACAGAGCTCTCGTTCAGCATAAATCAGAGGCTCAAGGATGAGTTAAGGAGTTTACACATGGCATCCTCCTCCCCAAGACGGATTACCAAAATCCCCTGGATAACTTCTTTAACAGAGATACCATCAGCTATTTTGAGCAGCGTGCCGTAGCCATTTCACCATTTTGTGTTTAGACACTATATAGATTAATATTGTTTTTAAATACATTTTATAAAGTGGCAACCTGCAAATTAGCTACTTTTTAAATGGAGGCATAAATAATTTAACTAAAGGGTGAATTACGTATACGTCTTGTCCTAATACGGTATAGGCTACCAGTCAATTTTAAGGTGCTATTTTTTTCTATAGCTTGTAAAAACAGATTGGAGAATAATGTTGGAAAAATACGTTAAGAAAATGTTTACATTTTTCGTTTTGTATGCATATGCATTTAGGCGTTTAATGTAAATTAGGGTTTTCAGGACGACAGCTCAGGAAACTTCCACCTGAACCAAACATGCACTAAGATTCTCAACTATGATATGAAAGATATTAGAGAATGATTTGATATGCTATTTTATTTTACACAGTAGGCTATATGTATAGACATTGCCAAAAAATGGGGTTTCCATACAGTGTAGGCCTATCTATTATTTGTCTCTATCAATGTGTTCTTTGGGCAACATGTAATGAAAAAAGAGGTAGCTATAATAATAAGAGTAATAACTTGGCAACATTTTCATAATATTTCATAGTGATATTATATAATTTCTTCCCTTTACTTATGTCTCCCTTAAATGCCTGATAAGCTGTAAGTCCTGGTGTCCTCTACAATGTCTTCATGTTTGAAAATGATGCATGTCTCACAACAGAAAGTCATATTCTGATTTGAAACCCCCCTATTTTACGACAAACAATATGAAAATTAGTCAGATTTGAATGATAATTACAAAATATTATCATATTCCCATAAGAGGGCTGAATTTAGTCATCCAGTCAGTGTCAGTCATTTATAAAGACCAATGAGAGGAAGTTGTCATGGTTAACCTACCTCCAAACATTTGATATCTCTGAAAAGCCCAGAATGTGCTCTTTACAGAACATTCATACTTAAAACTGTGTCTTATATGGTCTCAAAGAAACTTCTGCAGAGGAAAAACTCCATTCCTGGATCTCAGGAGTATATGCTGATGCAAACTAATTTTATACAGATTTTATATTCTTACACCACTCAAACACATTCCCATTACATATCTTATAGCTAATATATTAACAAATACAAAGCAGTTAACATAATAAGCAAAGAAAACTCTTTAGTTCTGCAATGTCAGATATTCCTTAAAAGGAAGGAGGAAAACAGATATAGTGTGAATGACTCCTTTGCTCAACATCTGTATGCAGAACCCTGACTCAGGTTTAAAGTGCACACTTCATTAAGAACAATGAGATTCAACTAAAATCCCCCTTTAAGGTCAATGATATAAAGGTCTGACACAAGAGCAGCTCTGTATATTTACAAACAATAAACAAACAACATTTTTTATAACTTCAAAAATTCAAATTCAAAATTCAACAATTAGGCTATTGGAAAACAAAAAAAAATCTGTTTTAATGACTATGTTCATGATGAGAATGCTGGGTTGGCTCTTTTGGTACGCTGGCCACATCTGAATAACCTGTTCTGTTTCTGTTATTTGAATGATGATGGTGATGAGGATGTTCATGTTGATGATGATGCTCATGTTGATGATGATGATGATGATGATGCTCAACAGCTACAGGTTCTGTATTGTTAGCCTGCTGGTTGTTCTCTCCTGTGGACTCGTCTGCATTGTTTTTGGGGTTGTCAGAGCCTTCTGAGAAGTTGGCATTTAGCTGAAAGAGAGTTGAAATAAATGAACATTTGCAAACATTTCATAAATATGGCACTTTCTGAAGCTGTATATTGTCGAATATTGTCACTCACTGAGCAGTTGCATATATTTTTGTGGTATGTAGCCCTGATGGCCGCTTCTATATAAGGGTAGTGAAGAAAGCTGAAGGGCAGGACAATGTGGAAGGTGAGATATCCACATCTGTGCAGAAAAGAAATACGGAAGAATGAATATGAACAACATATGTAAACAATACTTGAGAAACATATCTCAGATGCTCATTCTTCTGGGGAATTTGCATATGAATACTAAAAGAGCCATGTGACCCTAAAGGTGACCCTTAGTGTGTATACTGGATTCAGAAGTGTTATGTTCATACCTGTCATACACTAAGAAATCATCCTTGTCTCCCTCCAAGAGCTCCCAGACGTTGTTTTGCAGTGGGCTCTGCTGGTACACAGGGATGCCCTGTGCCGCCCTCCTCTTCAGCTCCCAGTACATGGCTCTGGACTGTGCATCCTGCTCATTGACGACCAGGAATGATATGTTAGTCAGCTTGCCATGGACCAGCTTGTCACGCAGGTCTCCCAACCTTCCCAACCCAAAGGAAGAGAACACAAGCAAGGATTCAGTTGACTGAGCAATTTACCAAGATTGATATTTTTGTTGTTTACAAAAAAACTGTCCCTTTAAATGAGGAAATGAGGAAGGTCAGTCAACAAAACGGCTGCCGGTTGTACCCCTTATACATTTGCGTGAAACATAAGTTTGAATTATTTTTAAATAGTTAAAAAGTATATAAAAGTTCTCATATATATATATATATATAAAGCTTTATTTTACATTTTCATATATTGTATATATATATATATATATATATATATTAATATATTCCATAGATTCATTAAAAAGATAAAACTGATTAATTATATAACTGTAATAATTGCATCATCATCCTTTTTCAGAATGGAGCATTGAATGTCACCTATTTTATTACTGTATCTTATGTTTCTGTATCTTAAAATGTTCACTTTGTTACATTTAGTGAACAGACTGATTTAGTAAACAATTAAAAAGTGTCTAAATATCAGCTTTGGGTCTTTTTCTATAGCACCTTGTTTGTTTGAAATTTGCCCCAAAAATTCTTTAAAAATCAACATCTCTAACTAAAAGACATCGCTTTATAGAATGAGAAAATGACCCAGAACAAGAACTCTCACCTGGCAGCCTGCGTGAGACAGAAGTGTCAGCTCGCTTTAAGAAGAGCCACAACGACTACATTTCCCAGAAGGTCTTTCATCGGAGCCTTGCCATCGATCTCCCACTGTGGGGCAGGTTTACAGATTCTGGAGCCAGTGCTTTCTTTCTCCACAAACAGTGGTGAAGCTCCTAGAAGAGCTGGAAAAGCAGACAACCACAGAGCCCAGAGAGCCTGCATCACGCCCGCTGCAAAAGCTACAAACAAAAACAATCATCACTTCCTCAAAGTAATAACCTCAAATAACCTAATACTTTGATGTGTCATTAGTTTGACATCTTTATTTTATCCCATAAACATATAGTATGCAAAAAAGCAAAACTGGCAGGAGGACATAGAGTTGGACAAACCTGAAGCTCTGGCCTCTTCGAGTCAAAAATACAGAAATGAGGAAAGGTTGACTGTCCACACTTTTAAAGTTCTCTTCTGGACAAACCCTCCCCCTCAACAAACAGAACAAACCAGAGGGGATTGGGGACTGGTGTACTACAAAGTTTTCGTTCATGTGTGCGGGTGAAGACAAATACACAGCTGATAACAAACTAAACAACATTTTTGTGACATCTGCAGTGTATTTATATAGAACAAATTTTGTGTCATATGTTGCCATGGGTGAATAATATATAACATCAATTGATAAAAGATTACAGCTTTCTGTGTGCGTTTGCAAAACACGATTAAGTTAAGCTGGAAATCATGCTATGTATTCTTGGATCAGTCATGTGTGTGTTTTTTCCCCTTTGAATCTATACATCTAAAGTGTCCAAAAGCCATTTTAACACTGATGCAATACTTTGACTGATCGCTTGGATAATTTAGTTGACATAAGGGAAGATTTAAATTGAAATGCAAATACTGGAGTGTCTTAAAATCTTAGGGCAAGGGGCCGGTTGCATAAACCTCTAAGACAAGTTAGTGATCATTTTTTTCTTTTCTTTAAGACTCTTCATAGCTTTTTAAAATCAGTTACATAAAAACATAGATGAGTCTAAGTTGATACCGAAAACTTAGACTGACTGCCCCTGGCTAACTGCTAGTGGGTCACACATAATGACTATGTTTATGCAACCGGCCCTAGTTCATGAGTGTTGGATTTGAGACTCTGCCAGTTTGTGCCACTGTTTGCTTGAGCTAAACATTCAGTGATCACATCATGTGAAAAACATGTGCATGTCTGTAAATTTACTGTTCTGTTCAAATGATGCAATTGATCCTTCAGTCACCAATTACTATATAGCTTTGTTGAAAAGTAATTTAGCAAAAATATTATTCCAATTTATGAGAATATACTTGTCTGCTCATACCTTTCCCTTTAAAATCATAGGAACATTCACAGGGATGTCAGCCACACACTAAATAAATGAGAAAATAAATTAGAGGCATTTTTTAATGTCTGGCCTCGCTGTATGTACAAAAGTAAACAATCTGAAATTGACACCATAGAAAACATTCTTGAAAGATCTTACACCATCTCATGGACAGAGGAATTGATTTTAGTTTTGTAAACAGCAGTTTCATCCTTGAAACGATTAGGACAAAGTACACGCTTTAATCCATGGAGCAACAACCTTCAGTGCACATTTCAAATATCTGAACAGAAAGGAGCACAAACACACACAAAAAACTGTTAAAACACCTAGTACTAAATATCCATTTTTTTTTAAAGAAATCATTGTTGTATTATTTAAAGTGCTTTAAACCCTATATGTTCCTCAAATATCCCTAATAATGTGAGCACTGTGAATTTCTCAGTAAAACACTTTCTTAAAGGGATAGTCCACCGGAAAAATAAAAAGATTCTCGTTCAAAGCTGTGACTTTCTTTTATGGAACACAAAATCAGATACTTTGAGAAATGTCATAAAATGGATGTCAATGGCAACCAAAACTGTTTGGTTACCAACATTCTTCAACATTTCTTCTTTTGCGTTCAGCAAAACAGGTTTGAAACATGAGGGTGAGTAAATACAAAAAGATAGATTAGTGGGTGAACTATCCCTTTAAGACACACAGTTGATCTATTGTCAGGACAAGTGACCCATCACAAAGCTGTTTCGGACTAAATCAATATGATAAAACCAGAAACTCTGGTTTGCAGACAGAAGTTTATTATTCAGAACAGTACTTTCAGTTTGGCAGCTGCATGAATCATTTGTGTGGTGGGTCTATAAATATGTGCAATCTTTTTAACGGCTAAACTCCTTCACTACACATCATATACCAGATTTATATCACTTTAAATTGGTTTATTGGTAGTGGTACTATGTTAAAGCAGATATTTTGACAGTCATATCATCAATTTTGACATTTCTCCAGATCTTCTCCAATATCTTTGTCTCATTGGCAAAAATCAAGTTCAGAGTTTGGATTTGGATTTCAGGGCACATTTCATGTTTCTGTAAACAGCTGAAATTATTCCACCAACAATTTACCTAGATTTTCTCAATATACATAAAAAAGGTGCAAAATTTGCGTCAAGGGAGTGCAACTACACAGACAGATGCAGCAAGTTCGAAATATTTCTTTCTTAGATAAAAGAACACATGTATTATTGAATCAGCTCCAGACTGTCAGTTGTGGTATTTATGCAAATGGTTTTAAAATGCAACAACAACAACCCAAAATAACTTAAACCAGTAAACAAACATCATCTGTGAGTCCTGCCGTTGCTTCACCTTTGGCTGGTTTAACAGTCAAGCATTAGTGCAGTTTCAGGTCAGGACACCAATCAGTCCTTCATCGCTCGTGACATTGCCCTCTGGACTGTCACACGCTGTTATGATGCCCAGGCCGAGCTCTGCCAGTTCGTCCTGCATACTTGTGGTCACCATCATTTTGGGCTCCAGACGATTGCACAGCGTCCTGTAAGAAGGCAGGGGGTAGCCCAGTTCCCTGAGGTACTCGTATCCTTTAACCCCCACCGCACAGCGAATTTTTCGGGCTGTCAGTAAAGTGTCATGGGACCACACTGCCCTCCGAGAACGCTTGGCTAATGTTAGGGCACGAATCTGATCCTCAAACAGGAACACCTGCAGCCCCTTTTCTATTTTACTCAGTTTGTAAAGACGTTTCTTCATCTCCTCTGCCTGTGTAAAAGAAGAAATGACAAAATGTTACCAGTGTTTTCAATCGATTATGATTCGTTCTTATGATTCATAGGAATAAATGTTACCTCTCTCTGTAGTCGGACTGTATGCTGCTGTTGCTGCTCTAGCTTGCTTTTATAATGCTGGCAGAGAGAACAGGGTCGCTCTTCCTCTGCCCCCTGAACTCCATCCTCCTCTGAATCCACAGGGGGCTGTCGGCGGGCATAACCATGATCCCCCATGTTCAAGTCCTTTTCCACTACAGTAACAACATAATATATTCATTTACACACAGTCACATAAAAGGGATTGTTAACTTTTCATCATTATTCTTACTGATGTGCTGTATAAAGTTTTACAGATACCAAATAAATGACAAATTCAGATGCGTTCACACCGAAGGTTTCCAAACATATACATTTGTAGTGCTTTTAACATTGTGTTTTTAAATAAAATTGTCAGGGAAATGGCTCAAATATAAAGGAAATATAATAGGAGATGGCGATGTGCAAAAAATGAAACGGGAGGAAAATTTTTATTTCAATGGTTTTAAAAAACGTTTGCGTTCACTTTTAAAATGTTTGTAATGGAAATAATATGAAGTGGGAGGAACAACTATTTAAATGCAGATTAGCAGATCAACGCAACAGTTTTCTGGGAAACGCAATACTTTTGCAAGAGAACACAAAGGTTTTATGAGCGAATACAAAGTTTCTCGGGGAAAGCAATAGATTTGCTAGAGAACGCAAACGTTTTGCGAACAAAAGCCAAGTTTCTCAGGGAAACGTAATACTTTTCTAGAAAACGCAAAAGTTTTGTGAGTGAATGCAAAGTATTTCAGAGGAAACGCAATCATTTTGCTAAAGAACGCAGAAGTTTTGCGAGTGAACGCAAAGTTTCGCAATCTAATGCAAAGAATCTTGAGGAAACGCAACACTTTTGCGAAAGAATGCAATACTATTGTAGAGAACGTAAAAGTTTTCCGAGTGATTGCAAAGTATCTCGAGGGAACGCAAATGATCTCGAGCGAAGGAATGCAAAAGTTTTGTGTCCGACTGCAAAGCTTTTTGAGGAACGCAATACTTTTGCGAGAGAACACGTTTCATGAACGAATGCAAAGTTTCTCGGGCTCTAGCAATACATTTGCTAGAGATCGAAAAAGTTTTGCAAACGAAAGCCAAGTTTCTCAGGCAAATGTAAGACTTTTCTAGTGAACACAAAAAGTTTCACAAGCAAATGCAAAGTATCTCGGGGTAACACAATACTTTTGCTAGAGAACGCAAAAGGTTTGCAAGCGAAATGCAACACTGCAAGAAAATGCAAAATTTTTGTGGGCAACTGCAAAATTTCTAGGGAAATGCAATACTTTGCAAAAGAACACAAAAGCTTTGCGAGCGAAGGTAAAGTATCTTGGGGGAACGCAATACTTTTGCAAAAGAATGCAAATGTGTTGTGATCAAATGCAAAGTTTCTCAGGGAAATGCAAGACTTTTGCTAGAGAACACAAAAGGTTTGTGGGCGAATGCAAAGTTTCTCTGGGAAACGCAATACAAGTGGCAAGTGCAAAAATGTTTTTACACAATAGCATCGAAACTTAATTTTTCTAATAGCTTTTTTTTTTTCCATCACCTTGTGCCCTTAGGGACTCACAGGAAATACAAAAAACTTTACCTGGCTCATTTTTAACAGGTAACGCTACTTGAGGGGTGACAGGAGAGGGAGGGTCGGGTACATTGAACAGTGTGGGGATTGCATTTGGTTTGAGTTTCCTTCCCCCTGCTGGTGATCTGGCGATCTCCTCAAACTGGCTTTCCTCAAAGTGGTCCTGTCACGGAAATAAAGCTTTATGGCAAGAATATAGATATATAGTTATACCAAGAGGATACCAGAAGAACGACTTCATTGTTTTCTTCTGCAGAATTTAATACTCGCATGCTTTTCACTTGCCTGGCACAGTCTGGAGCAGGGAGTTGGTACAAAATCACGCCGACAGTTTACAAGCCACTTTCTCATGCGCACGGGGTCTTTCGGAAAGCGAAAGAGCTGCTTTCCAATAGTTGTAGAGTTCGAGCAGTTTGGAGCGGAGCATCCACCCATTTTTATGTATGTCGCCAAATGTTTAACTTACCATCTGGCCAAAACAACAATGACACGTAGCGGTCTGCTAGCAGTGGACTTAGCAGGTGTATTATTAAATATACATTAGACTTCAGAAAAAGAGAGAGCAGTTGTTTTAGCAGACGTAAGCAATTACTTTACGGTCGGTCTCTTTAATGTATTGAGTAGAAAATGCGATTACTTAAAACGAATATATTTTACTAGTAAGTGAAATGCAGAGTTTGTTTGAGCCAAAATGGCGCCGGTAGGCGACTTGATGACGCATGATGTGAGAGTTGACTTTAGTTTTGCCTGTATGAAATTAGTTCACATTTAGAAAATGCACATAATGTAAATAGTTTTTATGCATCATTTAACAGTTCAGAGAATGCGAGACAACGAACAAAAAGAAAACATAAAAGATAACATGTGAGCTGTTACATAAATTTAAAAAGCTTTAAACATTTTTTTTCATAAGCTAATTTTTTCGTATTTGAAAGGTACTGATGTTTTAAAGTATTAGGGTTACAGAAGGTAATGTTACTTTTGCGTTATGTTTTTTTTAAATGGCAGTTACAGTTACAGACCATTACAAAAAGGCAATACAAAACCTAAGGTTCCTAGAACAGAGCACATGCTACCTGGAGAAAGAGATAATAATAATAATAATAATAATAATAATAATAATAATAGTAAATAAATAAATAAAATAAAATGAGTAATAGCTTATTTATCAGGGTCTACTGATAATTTACAATTTTCTTCAATAAACTTTTGAAATTCTCAAGAATTTACAGTAAATCCAATATATATATATTGGATTTACTGTAAATTCTTGAGAATTTCAAAAGTTTATTGAAGAAAATTGTAAATGCTTAGCTTATATATATATATATATATATATATATATATATATATATAACTTTGCGTTATTCTTTACTTGTGAGTGTTTTGTGAACTGTTTTAAATTGATTAATAGTATTTAGATACTTTTTTTATATTTTTATTCAAAAAGTAATGCTTCACACTCCAGTCCAGTAGGTGGTGGACACGCATTTTACGCCATCCGCCATAAAACGTAGAAGAAACTCCAACCGGAAAGAAAATAGATACACTCACATGTTACACAGGCGATGGAATTTATGAAAGTTATAGGAACACATTTACGATTTTGACGTTTAGAGTAATACATTTTGGAACAGTCGGAGAAACTCGAAAGCTAAGCAATTATCATAATTGTACCAGGTACATTATAGATATATTCGATTATGTTTTGTTACTCTCCGAAATGACATTTTATGCACGTCTACAGTATCTGCTTTGACGGCATCATCATTTTGTTTTACGTAAATATATAACAACGGTGACGTAGAGCACTCACTTGTTGACTTTGATTAGAGAGGTAGTTTGTAAAGACCATTAAGAAAATCTCGGTCTTCAGCACATGTGTGGTATTGGTTATTTTATCCAGTGCACTTAAAATGTCATCCTCAATGATAGTCCCTGTAATAGATGTGCAGGGAAACAATTTTAAGGAGTTATGGGCAGCAATGGTGTTAGCCATTAAAACATCTTCATTCATCGCCATTGATACGGTGAGATAAAACACATTATCTATCGAGAAACTGAACCGAATGAGAAAATCCATGTGTTTAATACCAGAACGGAACAAGATGATTCATGTATGTGGTCTCTTTTAGGAACTGAGTGGTCTTGGATCAAGGAAAGCTCTTCTGGCTGAGTATGTTGTGGGATTTAAATATTAATATCCAGTAAATGACTGCGAAAGTGGCAATGTTTTTTTGTTTTTTTTTTGCCTTTAAAGATGCATTGAAGAAAGATACAAAGCCATATGCCATGCAGCCCGCACACGTTCAATACTTTCATTGGGGTTTGCTTGTTATAAAGAGCTTGACAACAAAGTAAGGATCTTTGATTAACATATTTTCTCTCTGAATATGTAAACGGACATTGCATTGATTCTTGTGCTTTTCCTGTTTCTAGGCTGGCAGCACATACCTGGTCCAGATTTACAATCTAACCTTGCTTTGCTCAGAGGAATACATCATTGAACCTCAGTCAGTGAAGTTCCTTGTGCAACATGGATTTGACTTCAACAAACAATATGCTGAAGGCATTTCTTATTATAAGGGTAATGATAAAGTGAGTATGAAGTTGTAAGATAGACTGTTCCATAAAGATGTAGAGATTTCAGGTTTAGAGACTTAAGTAGGTGTGTTTTGGGCTTCTTTTAGGGAGGTGATGCCCATGGGATAAACATGCGGACCTTGTTCTTAGAACTGCTTCGGACCAACAAGCCCTTGGTGGTCCATAATGGGCTGATAGACATGGTCTTCTTGTACCAGTGCTTCTATGCCCATTTACCTGAGCGACTGGGCACCTTCACTGCCGATCTGTCCCAGATGTTTCCCTCAGGCATCTATGACACTAAGTATGCAACAGAGTATGAGCTGCGGTTTACAGCCTCATACCTGGAATATGCCTATAAGAAGTGGTATGTTTAATACCTCAATATGCCAAAAGTAAAAAATGTACATGTCTGTTCAGTACCTAAGCTTTACGGTTTTTCTTTTCCTCCACAGTAAGCTGCAAAATAGCAGAGACATTGAAGGCGGTGGTAATGGGAGTCGTGTGTTCCTAGAGTTTTGTAAATATACAGGCAACATGGAGAGCTACATCGACTACAGGCCTTGCTTGGACAACCAGAATCAGGATGAAGCCCTCAACATCTGTGTTCAGTTCTCTGTGAGTTCCTCAAATTCATTGGGGTTATATACTACCGCTCAAAAGTCTGGAGTCAGTAAGAGGTTTTTTTTATTTGAAAGAAAGTAATTCTTTTATTCAGCATTAAATTGATCAAAAGTGACTAAAATAAATGGTTTATATAAATGCTGTTTCTTTTTACAAATTGCTTTGTTTCTATGAATCAAAGAATAATTTCTTACATTTTCCACAAAAATATTAATCTGTACAGCAGTTTTCAACATAACACGACAACATGGCTTTACACGAAGACAGTATTAAAATATTAGAATAATTTCTACATTTCTGATCATGCGTCATTAAAGACTGGAAGAATCGCTGCTGCAAATTCAGCTTTGCCATCATAGGAATAAATTACATATTTTTCAGCCTTGGTGAGCATAAGAGACTTCTTTCAAAAACATAGGGAAAAAAATTAAAATCTTATAGGCCTAGACCCCAAATGTTTTGCACGGTTGTTAACACACAGACACACAGGTGGCCAAAAGTTATGTCCGGCCTAAGAAAATTGACACCTTCAGTTGTGTAGTCAATTGCTTTATTTTTGAAACATGCCAAATTGTGCGTACATAAGTTTTTGCCAGGTTGTCATACAAAGAAACTCCCCACCTACTGACCTAACGTGTAAACTTTATGGGGAGCGTGCTAGCCAGTCGAGATTTAAACTCTGTCAGCTGAAGCCCCAAGTTTAGTTTGAAGACAAAAACGTATCAAGCACAATGTTCTATCACCATTCCAGATTTCTAACATGCACTTACAGCGTTCGCTGTGGTCTTACGAATCACAGCAGAAACGAAAGTTGCTGCTCTCTGTATGTTTTTCCGTCGTCTCCGGGCGCGTTCATATGTAAATTGCGCAAGCTAATTTTGTCTATTAGATCGAAAGATCTGAAAAAAAAAAAACTATACATGGACCCTCCCCTCAAAGAAATCAGGACAGAAGTGGTTAAAATTGGACGAAAGAGCACCAGGTGTAAACGGGTATGTCTCCCTCGTCTACTTGTGATCAGATCGACCAAAACGCATCTTAATACCAGGTGTAAACAGGGCCATACAGTGTCACTGTTGCACATCTTACATGTACTTACTCTAATAATAACAGTAAATGATGTATAATTACATGTAACTAACCCTAAACCTAACCTTAACTATATAGCAAGTACATGTTAATTAATATTACTCAATACTCATTTGTATAATTACACTGTAACAAGTACACCTTAAATATAAAGTGACCAACATTAATAGCATCTTTTTATTGTCAGTATTGATACCTCTGTTATTGTACTTTTTCCTGAGGATAAAATGAGGCTGTTTTTATTTATCATTTAATGATGTTGTTTACAGAATATGATCAAGTGTCGCATTTACCTTTGCCTTTAGTGCGAAATAATTTCAGATGACATTTCCGTCATTACTCCATCTGTTCTGTTTGAATGAGAGCTGTCTGTCTCTTTTTATTTTCCTACTTTGAAGCCTTCATTTTCATGCTAAAAAAATAGTTAATTAAACACTGAGGGTATTATTTTTGTGAAGACAGACATTTAAAATAAAGTAATGAGAGGTTTCACTTAAACTCACCCCCTTCATCATCATATTCCTGAAATTTTATGACATTGCTAATGTTTTCTGCTCTACTGCTAGGCCTATGGATGGTGTCCTAATGGCTCTCAGTGCACCATGTCACATGACACAGACCTTATAATCCAGCATGATGAGAAGATCAAAGAAGACAAGAGGAAGAAGAGGAAGCGCAAGAACAAAAAGAAAGATTCTAAAGGGGCCTCTGAGTCATGCAGTTCCCCACAGGGGAAAAGATCACACTTTGAAGAAGCTGAGCTGGACCAGGCAGTGCCCATGTCTGAACCAGCACTCCCTGAAAATCAGGAGAAGACTGCGAGAGCTGAGCCAACAGATGCCACACATGCGTTTGAACCTGGGGAAACCGCCAGCAAGAACGGAAATGAGGAATCTCAGCCAGAAGCACCTGCTGAAGCTCCTGATAGACCAAAAGAGAAGAAAGTCGAAGGAGGAACTCACCGAGCAGGATTCGACGCTTTCATGACTGGGTATATTTTTGCTTATGCCAGAAATCTGACAAAAAACACAGAATCCAGCACTGCTCCTCTCGTTCTTCCCACATGTCTCAATAAACTGTTCCTCAGTGGCAAGTCTGTTCCTCTACATGTAGCCAAAAGCACCTTCTCAAAGTCTTCAAAGGCTCATGTGCACAAGATGGACTATGTCTGGGGAAAAAGCACTGCTGTAAAAGTTGAAGGAAATGCATAGAAACCTTTGATTAAGATTTCAATTTATGTACATTTTTGGACAAATAAAATCTAAGTTTTCCTATGGTTTCCTGTCCTTATTATGTCTGTTTTCCCCTTTCTGATTTAATGTACATTTAAACTATTCTTAAAAGTGTGCTAGACTTGATTTTTAAGGAGCCATTAAAGTATGGATGATAACAGCAAGGTTAATGAACAATAGTACATTAAGCAAAGCCACAATAAAAATCAATAAGACATTTTGAATTTATTTTAAACAAATGGGAATACACACATGCATTTAAACAATTAAAGCCATATAAATGGGGAAAATAAGTCCTGATCTGTCTTTGGTAGAAATATACATCTCTTTCTCATTCATTTACAAATCTACAATCTAAAAGTATTGAGAAAACAGTCAGGACTGAGAAAGCAGAAAAATAGAGTTAAGAATAAACTAGCAAGAACTGACCATTTTCAACATGTACAGAAATCTATTCATCAGATCATATAAACAACAACAAACACAGTTTAAACAGTTCACAGACAATGAAGACAGTAAAATTATTTTTCTCCTTATAAATATCAAAATAAATCCTCTCTATAAAACTATCATGCCTTGGTTAAATTTATTGCATAGAAATGTAGTGACAAATAACAGATTAAAAAAAAAGTTCAAACCATTAACTTATTTCAAGTGCAATTATGATTTTAAGTAGATGCAGACATGGATTTTTTTTTTTTTGAGACCTGAGAGGTCAAAGTGTGAAAATTGTCCATGTCCTGAAATTACCATGGCACACACCGTTAGCATAGGATAAAAACGGGAGCTTTTTAAGATGAGAGATGACATGGAATGTTTGCTGCAGATTTTTTTGCCAGGCCCACGCAGTGCAAAAAGACTCAAATCACCTTTCATTAACTTATGAAAAAACACAGAGAAATGGCCAAAGCTGCTCACTTAAATATACATTGGATACAGTTTGTGGACAAACTTTAAAAAACAAAACGGCTTTTGTGGTAACTAGTGTGGTGCAACCAATAGCAGAAAAACAGAACGTGTCTCATCATTAGCCCTGTGTGAAGTGCCGTCCATTGTATCTCCCTGTTTGAGTTCTTCATAGTGTGATGGCTAACTTCTAACGCATGGACCGGATCAGTGTTTCACACCTGTTTCCTGATCCCATGTTCAGTCCAAGCTGCCCTTTTTAGCTTAAGTTACAAGGGTTTCCTAACAACATATACAATGTATAATTAAATATTGAATGCATATAATCTCTGTTTGCGTGACCAAACTCCTTTCTACACTATCTAGATATCACATCTGGAGATGTGGCCTCCAGAAGACGAGGCTTTGCAGGCTGTGAGGACTATCGGACAGAGTTCCTCAGGCTCCACAGACATGCTTAGCGTGAGTGAGTTCTTGTTGGAGATCATCATGCCATCCTGTTCTTCAGCCTCCATGTCCTCGCAGAAGCCACCGAGACTTCCGTTGTGCATCTGGCTGAGGACTCTGTCCTTATCATCCGCAGGGCTTCCTCTGCTACTAGAGCAGTCCATGGCCTCTGCTTCTCCTCCGTCAGAGGGTACACGAGGAGACCAGTCCACTGCCACCCCCACTTCCTCCTCTTTGTCAGCTTGCGGCTTGTACTGAGGGATCTCTGTTACAGCGTACTTCTTAGCCCAGCTGCTCAGCGTTTTGGGCTGTCCGGCCTCGCTCCTGGACATTGGGTGAGATGAGAATAAGACTTCTGAGTGGGGCAGCCGGGGAGAGACAGGGAGCGAACGGCACTGCCGACCGGGCAGCTGCCAGGGCTCCGTCCAGGAGGTGGAGCAGTTGTTGCCAGAGGCACCAGTGCTGATGTTGGCTTGAGGCTGGTATGAGCTTTGACTGCCATGAGGTGCGTGCAAATCAAACATGAGCGAGAAGACCGACTTGCTGGGCATGTCATAAAACTTGATCTTGCCACCTTTTAAGTCCTCTCTGGCACTGAAAGGGTTGACTTTCGGTAGCCCATGTGCTAAGCCCCTAGGTCCTGGGTTGTAGTAAGGGTCCTGGACATTCACTTTGCGGGCGGGTTTACGAGAGAAAATGTCGGACTGGCTACGGGAAAGCCAGATGTTGCGACGTGGACGGGGGGACTTGGGTGGAATCTTGTCGTCCTGAAAACCAAGAGGATTTAACCTCTTTATACCCTTTTCACCCGGACCTAGAACAACAATAAGAGAAGTTGAGACCACATTAGAGTGTTTCTATGATATCACTTTACAGTGAGATTCTATATGTTAACATTAGGCAGCGCATTAGGTAAAAATATCAGAGCGAGAAAAATAATTGTTATAAAAGTATTGTTCATTGTTAATAGGGGTGTAACGGTGCATGTATTCGTATTGAACAGAAACGGTACGGGCGTCACGGTTCGGTGCATGAATTTACACGGAGAATACACGGTATAAAAATAAATAAAACTTGCGTGCAAATTATTTAATGTAATGCGGAACTACCGTTAGATACGCGGGTTCTTTAGGGACACATAATCTGTAGCCCCGCCTAGGCGAGCTCCGCCTATGTGCAGTTTTTTGTCAGGTCGACGACGGTCCAGTGAGTCAGATAGCAGCACTAAGGACGAGTATGGCGAGTGGTGGCGACCCACAAGAGTTAGAGGACCCGCCGGCCTCTTTAAGATCGCAAGTTTAGGAAAACTTCGGTTTCCCAGGCAGTTACACGCGCGCGCGCGCGCTCTCTCTCTTGTTAATTCATAACAAAATTATTACAGTGCTACTTTATTTCACTTCAGAATTCTAGATCTGAGCTGTAGATAAACGGGAGGGGAAAAAAAATCAGAACTATATATATTTTCCGTTTGACCAGCAAAACATTCATGAGTCATGATGACAGCTGTTATCTTATCTATTTATCCAACCCATTAAAAACAGTCTGTGGGTGCCATCTTTTGGACATTCATCATATTACATTGGTTTTCATTTCGTGTCCTCAAACAGAGCACTAATCTGTTTATTTTTAAGTTACACATTCTACATTGATTAAAACATAAAATCAAATGTGTGTTTTAATGGTAAACAATAAATTATTTATATTTCAGATGAGAATAAAGTTAGTGTTAATTAAAATTAAGGGGAAAAAATATATTGATCTGAAATATAGCAAATTAATTTTAAATTCATTCAGGTACAATTACCAAACATATCAAGGTACTTTTTTGTCTTTTTATTAAATTTAATTAATAAACTAATTATATAAAAATATTGTCAATGCACTAAACTGGTTCTATGCCTTTACTTTATTAATAAAACTTATTTTAAAAAAATACAAGGTTTAAGGCATTTATATTCCTTTAATCCAGCCCCCCCTAATTGTTAATAGTAATTTCTGTATACTAATACATTTTAATATCTTAATTAACCTTCACTACCATACAAATGTTTGGGGACAGAAAGATTTTTTTTAATACTTTTCAGCAAGGATCCATTAAATTGACAGTAAAGACACTTATTTATTACAAAAGAATTTCCACTTCAAATAAATGCTATTCTTTTAAACTTACTATTCAAAGAATCCTGAAATCAATACACCATCAATCCTTCATCCAAAACGTGTTTTTGTCTTACCCTGATTCACTATTTTAAGCCCATTATAAGTGTTTATATTTAAGACCAAGCGTGATGCTTTTCGCACGAAATTGCGTACTTGTGTCAATCGCCCGTGCGTGTCTTGTTAAATCCATAAATAGAGAAAAGTTGCCCCAGGGAGTGGCATTGGTTAGTTGTCACAACGAGAGAGAAAGGTTGACATGGAGCAGCTAAAATCTCAAACCTCCAGGTAATCACCTGTTTACCCTTTCACGCTTAGTGGTCACTACAGTGGACAGCTATTTAAAAAGCATTTTCTTGAATTTGCAAGGGTTTTGATGGCAAAGTTGCACATCAATCTCTTCAGTGGACCCTGGTGCATCATCCTATACATTGCAACCAAGTTGTAAGCCATTGTGTTTTGATTTTTTCCCCCTCCAAACCAAGATGGCCAATGGTCAGTCAGAAATGCCAAGTTGCTCCAGAATATCCACCCATTCCTTCTATCCTAGGAGACTCTTGTAGGTAAAAACAAAACAAAATATTGGAGCATCAAGCAATATCTAATGAGTCATATCACAGTAAAAGTTTTGATTTTAGATTGGGAGAAAATCAGATTTATCATCTGTCCACTATAGTGGACCTCATGGATCAATGGCTATTTCAGCTACAATTCATACTTATACTGTGAATATTGTTTTTGAAAATACTTAAAATGCAGTAACTTTTTTTGACTGTAAATAAATGTATTTGTATTATTAGAATGTAATTTTCATTGACATCTAAAAAAGTAATCTATTTACGTAATGCATTACTTCTTGCATCAAAAAGTTATCTGTTGCTTGTTGCTACGTAATGAATGTTGCTTGTAATGTATTTATTTACTCGTAACATCAGAAAAGTAATTGATTACGTAATGCATGTTACTTGTAATGCATTACTTGTTAGATCAAAAAGTAATTGATTTCGTAATGCACGTTATTGTAATGCGTTTCTTTACTCGTAACATCAAAAAGTAATCCGATTACGTAATGCACATTACTTGTAATTAATTACTTGTTAGATCAAAAAGTAATCTGATTAGGTAATGCATGTTACTTGTAATACATTACTTTACTCGTAACATTAAAACAAATATGATTATGTAATGCATGTTACTTGTAACATTACTTTACTTGTAACATCAAAAAAGTAATCTGAATGCGTTATGCCTGCCCCAACACTGCTCATTTCAGATGAGATTGAAAAAAAAAAACGTATCGCTAGGTCTTCTCAGAAGACGGCTATGCTATAAATGTGTCCATCTCTAACATAATCAGAATTATCAGCTAATAAGGGTAAATTGACATACTCTGGTACACTGGAGGGAGCATCTGAGTGGTTTCCACAGTTGTACCTTGACAGGCTGTAAAAAAATTGATGGAATCACGTCCTCATGTTCTGATATCAAAGATACACGAAGTGCAACTTGTATGAAGGTCAATTGCCTTTGCAATATTTTGGATCTATATATTTCTTTAATATATTTTATAGTTTTCACATGATTTGATATAATTGTATTGATTAGTTTGTTAAATACACATACTTTATCTGTTTGATTATTGTATTATGTTTAATACAGTATCTCTTCAGTTTAAACCATAAATGCATGCTGTCCACTCAAGTGGACATCTGAAAATCTCTTTGAAAAATTTGTTAAAAAAAAAAATCAAATCAAATCTTGTTTTTCATGCCTTAACTCTCTGGGGTCGGCGGTCTCGCCGGCGATACCAGCTCACTTTTTTCCTTATCAGTGCAAAAGAGACTCAAATTACTCTGTTAATTTTGATCTTACATATAAGTGTTGTACATCATTCGATCCTGTTAAGTTTGTATTTTTTTTGTGGAACCTCATAATAAAAACAAAGTGTTGTGCTTTTCGCCTAATAAAGAAAAATAAACATGATGCGCGTTCTGCGTTCTCTCTGTCAGTGAAGTCCATTCTGAAACGCGTCCGAAAAATCATCTGTAACTCTGCAAATACTCAGTCAAACAGGTATACAGGCACACAGGCATGAAGCCTGAATTATCTTCTTTTAAATGAAGTAATTTATATAAAAAATTTTTTTTCTCATTTTATGTAATCCGTACGAAAAGAGAGAGATGATAGTCGTTCTCGTCTCAGCTCATTAAAGTTAATTTGACCACGCCCACGGAGCGCGCGCTCTATTCAAACACAAATGCTCTGAGGCGATCCACGCCCACACATCAGCTGGATAACCCACCGAAAGAGACTCATATTTACGACGCTGTGAGGAATAATACTATCTTAATAATAATCCTGGAAAAAATTACCTCAGAAGTAGGCTACAGGTAGTTTCATTTGGAGGAGCAACGGATCCAGCCGAGGAAATAGGTACATTCTTTATTTTCAAGTGCTTTGTGCTAATCGCGATATGGAATAGTGTCTGTAAACAAAAAGACTGTTTGAATCGCGTTTTTGTGTGTGAATGAATGAACAGCTTTTACCTAACTATATTCCAATACTGAGATGAGTAAAAATCGACTGAAATATGTTGAAATAAAATATTTTTGTATAAGCAACGTATTAAACTGCAAATTAACATTTATATGTCCTAATCATAAAAACGATATGTTACATATGAAAGACAAGATGTCGTTTTTACTGTAAAATACTGCCACATCAAATAAGCTTGTTTGCTAAGATGTTATTATAGTATTTGTTCGATTGTAAGCTATATTCAAACTAATTAATCCGCAAATGTGAAATATGTATGATAAAATGTATACTTTAGTATATAATACAAAGAAAGATTACATTTGAAATATAGTTAAAATTTTAATTGTTGTTGTAATTGTAACCTTTTTATTAAAATAGCAAAAATATATGTAGGCTACATATAAATAAATCTTAGGTAAATCTTAAAAGCTCAATATAAGCCTCCTCTTTAAATTATTTGTATTGTGTTTTATTAGTGACACATTTGGGATACATTCCCAAACTTTCTGTAAAAACAGTATGATAATTAACTGCACAATTACTATAAATTTTTACATTTGATATTATACAATTTGCAAGCACAATTTGAAAAATAAATAAATAATTGGAACTGTGAACCAATTTTGTATTATATAGGCATATATATATATATATATATATATATATATATTGGCATTGCATTCTTGTGGCTCAGTGACACACCTGAATGAAAGGGTCATTAGTATGCAGCCTCATTATGCGCTCATTATGCGGGCCCATTGTCTTCTCAGGTGTGAATCACAGCAGGTCACACCCCTGCGCATATTGCCTTTCCAAACAAAAAGTGTCATTTTAAAATTTAAACCAATCTATTGTTTTATGTGAATGACAAGGCAGGATGATTTTCAGATCATTTTGAAGAAAAAATTCTAGGCGACAACATCCATTAGTCAAAAGTCTTGTGGACAGATATTTAGTATGTGTTTTGTGGCCTTATTTCAGAAACTTTAAGTTTTAGTTTTTTCAATAACCACGCATAAACAATATTCTCTCAAAAATACAAAAATGTACATACATGTTGATAACACATTATGGTAGCCCTGTGTGTGCTAAATAGAGTGTAATTACACCTTTGCCAGTAATATGTTTACAAGCAACTGAAAAAAGCACAAATGTCAGAGTATGTCAAAACATCTCAAGGACCCCAAAAACACCTTGGACCCCAGAGGGTTAAGAGCAATAAAAACACATAGGAAAAAAATCCTGACTGAGGTTATCATAATTCAAGCATGAAAGGGTTAAAAAAAAACTGATAAAGGAGCTTCTGCCTTCAAAAAGAGAATGTGACAGAGAAGGCTTTTTGGAGAAGGCGAGAGCTGAGGGATTTGAAATGTTGTAAAAGCGATGTGGAGATGGTGAGGTCAAAGGTGAGTAAGGTATTTTATTGAACAGATAAATTACCATATGTAGCTCTCTAACAGAGTTCATTGTAAAGCATTATCTATTGCGAAGGGTCATTTCATTATGTTTGTTGTAGCGCTGTGCTGGAATTTAAGGAAGTGCCGTATCTATTAATGGGTATAGCTACAGTAACATCTTCAGCTAGTCAGCTTGAGATCCTTTCTATCTAAACTGGTTATTAACCCTAGTAGTGAAGGTTTTCTGAGCAGTAGGATAACCATATTCACCCACACAATCACGTAAAACTGAAGCAAAACAAAACAATATTCTCCTGCAAAAAATGCTTTGTTGAACCGCTAGAGGGCCACAAGTTCCATAGTATATCTTTAAGCAGCAAGACAGTTTTTCAACATTAAATGTTTCTTGAGCAGCAGTTCAGCATATTAGAATAATTTCTGAATGATCATGTGACAAGACTGGAATAATGGCTACTGAAAATTCAGCTTTGCCTTCACAGGAATAAATTACTTTACAATATATCAAAATAGAGTTATTTTAAATTGCAATAATTTTCCACAATATTACCGTTTTACCATATTTTTGATCAAATAAATGCAACCTTGGTGAGCCAAAAAAACTTTAACAAATATTATTAAAATACCTTTCAAAAGTTTGGGGTCGGTAAGTTTGTGTATATTAATGCTATAAATGCTTTAAAAACAGGTGTTCATTGTTAGTTCATGATGATACCAAATGCATTAACTAATATTCTGATATATGTAGATTCCCTTGACAAGTGTAAACACTAATGGCACCATAAAAATTTAGTGAAAGCATAATGACCAGTCTGATACAACAACACTGGCTCAACCAATGGCATGAGTTTGAGGTGGGGCTAACCAATGACAGATGCAAGAAATCTTCAGACAACCGGTTTAAAAACAATATTTCTGCTAGTCACCAAACAGAACCAACACACTTGAGCTTTAAGGGAATAAGCTTGAACACTAGGGGGTAACAAAATATGTAATGTTCATTTGACTGAATATATGTGCAAGGCAAAGAGCATGAATCAGGTTTAACATATCAAAACTCAAAATAGTGCACTGAAAAAAAAAAAGTACATGGAATACAAAATCTGCTTATATTCATTAAACCATTTAAGAAACAGAGTACAATGTTGGTAGTTTAAAGGTTTTGAAGGTCAGGACGATTTTAATTCAATTCTCTTATTCTCACCAAAGCTACATTTATTTGACCAAAAACAGAGATATTATTACAATTTAAAATACATATTTTGTATTATAATATATTTTAAATAGTAATTTATCCCTGTGATGGCAAAGCTGAATTTTCAGCATCATTACTCCAGTCTTCAGTGTCACATGATCCTCCAGAAACCATTCTAACATACCGATTTGATGCTCAAGAAAAATATCTGATTATCATCAAAACAGTTGTGCTGCTTAATATTTTTGTGGAAACCATAATACATTTTCTTTCAGGACTCTTTATGATACAAAGTAAAAAAAAAAAAAAAGCATTGATTTTGTAACATGTCCTTACTGAAAATTGTTATCAATGTAATGCTTCATTGCTGAATTCTTTTGAAAAAATATATATTGCTGACTTTTGAATGGTAGTCTATCTGAAACTTTCAACGAGCCTCTAATCTCTTCTAGCCATACACTGTTTTGTGAATTATTCCTTGTTTGTTCAGGATATGAACTAGCACTGGAAACTAGGCTGTGAGATTGCAAAGCAAAGACAGAAAAAGAAAAAGCTGTGCATTATAAGTAATTCCCATAAGGAAAGAACATCCAATCCATAAAGCTCATAGACAGACAATGTTACTGTTCGTTTTCTAGTCTCCGTGTTCTTAGAACTCATTGGCCCTGCAGTACTACATGGAAAGAGAGTGCTGGATGGTATGAGCAAAGCCTCAGCGGGCGACAGGATGTACTAGCCCTCTGTCAAAGCAACTCACATCAAAGATGCGTTCAAAGCACATCAAAGCTTTATGTTTGGTGCCAGAAAGTGAATAAAATAGTATGGAATGGACACCAGCAGTTTTCCTGATCATATCGTCAGTTTGAAGGTTAGTCAAATCAATATCGGTAGTGAAATAAATGTGTTTGCATGAATAAACACACACCTTTAGGCATGTTTTTTTTCTCAACCTCTCCAGCAGTTAGTAGCATCCTCTCCCTCTCAGAGTCATCAGCTTTCAGCTGTATCTGGATTTCTTCCAACCTCTTTACTAAATCGGGGAATGAGGGCCTGAGCTTTGGATCCATCTGGGATATATGTGGAGGCAACAAGAACATAAAAAAGCATAAGCATCTAAATCTGCAAGAGCTCCATGTTTTCACTTCTAGAATGTTGCACATCACAGATATTACAGTGGGACAGTTTCATGTTGTAGTTGCATGTCTGTTGATACATTTATATGAAATATTGGTAACACTTTACAATAAGGTTCATTAGTTAACTACATCAGTTAAAATTAACAAAGATTAACAAATGCTGAAGTAGTATTGTTCATTCTTAGTTAATGTTAATTTCAACATTTACTAATACTTTAACTAATGTTAACAAGATTTTAATAATGCACTGTGAACTAACATGAACAAACAATGAACAGCTGGATTTGTATTAACTAACGTTAAACAAAAACAGTAACAAATGTATTGCTCATGGTTAGTTCGTGTTAGTTAATACATTAACTAATGTTTAATAAATTAACCTTATTGTAAAGTGTTACCGAAATATTATTACATTACGTACACGACCATTCTAAAGTTTTGGGTTGATAAAATGCTTTAATGTTTCAAACTAATTTTTTACTGACCCCAAACTTTTGAACAGTAGTTTATATGATAAAACTATTGGAAAAGAAGAAATAAAAATACAGTATGTGGTAAGAATATAGATCAATTATTTGGTGCAACTACCAATACATTAATGATTCTTTTAAAGAGAAACTCTCACATTGCAACAGTTGAAGGCGAGCTGAAGGAAGTCAGGGGGACAATCTCCAACCATGTGCTGGAAGGCGTGGTAATCCAGGCCAAAGTTCTGCAAGGGGCACATGAGCGGGTAAAGGTCATACTTAGGACAAAGAGGTTTTAATGACTAGCATAAACACGTCATTTAGAAACAAATTGTATCTCCAAAACATTTATTGTAGAGGTTTATAACAGTGAATTACTGCTGCTGTGGACTCACTTCAGTGCGCGGTAAGTAGTCGGGATCAGCCTGTATCCTTGCAATGATCTCGCACAAAATAATGCCATATGAAAATACATCAGCCTAGAAATGAATACAGAGAAATGAGTATGTGTCCTGATAGATGCTGGCATGAAACAAGCTTTGTATAGTAAATATAGTGCTATACTCAGTATAGTGCTGAGTGCCGACTGCAGCTGAGAATCTAACCTTCTCGTTATACGGCTCGTCTCTTAACACTTCTGGAGCCATCCAAAATGGGGATCCCACCACAGACAGCTTCTCGCCCTCAAAACTGAACACACAGAATAGTGGTCTGGTCAAAACGCTGACATGTTAAAATGCTTTCACACATTATATAAATACAGACACTTAAGCACTTACAATGACTAATGGCACCTTAAAATGTTCAGTTGAGAAAGCAATACTTTGTGGTGGATCGAGAAGGGGTAACTAGTTGATCAACAACATGACTACTCTAAAAGCTTTGACTAGTTTCTAATTTTTCAATTCTATGTTTAAAGATTCAATATTTTAGCGGAAGTGCTTTACATAGAACTTTAGCTGTCAGAACTGTCTTCCATGTTTATTGAGCATCCCCCCCCCCCCAAAAAAAGTGGGCATACTCACTCATGTTATTCCAAACCCATAAGACTTTAGTTCATCTTTCGAAACACAAAGACATATTGCACATAAAACGTATCTTCATTTAAGATATGATTATGTTATAGGAATTAGATGGTGACACATACGAACAAACAACATTGGTTCTTGCTAAAGCGCAAACATGTTTATGCATTTTTGATGTTCTCTATGCATGTCCATTAATTTATGTTTATGTGAATAAAAGCCTGAATTAAATGTGTTCATATAATGTGATCGTGTCTCTTCAGAAGACGTGGATTAAAGAGCTCGATTCATCTGGATTACTTTTACCATGTCTTTATGAATGTTTGGAAGCATCAATATTTTGGTTGAGTAGACTTTCAATGAAGGAACAGAAACCTCTCGGGTTTCATTAAAATATCTTTCTGTTTCGAAGATGAAGGTCTGATGAAATGACATGAGGGTGAAACATTTATAACAGCTTTTTCATTTTTAGGTGAACTAACCCTTTAAGATGGTGCAAATTTAAAAAAATTTAACCCTGAAACTGGTCAAATTATACAGAGCTTCCAGTTTAATCAAATAAAAGAGGGATTCATTGACTAGTTGTTCAGGCAACCAACAGACTATTCGATTTAATATATATATATATACACACTCACCGGCCACTTTATTAGGTACACCTGTCCAACTGCTCGTTAACACTTAATTTCTAAGCAGCCAATCACATGGCGGCAACTCAGTGCATTTAGGCATGTAGACATGGTCAAGACAATCTCCTGCAGTTCAAACCGAGCATCAGTATGGGGAAGAAAGTTGATTTGAGTGACTTTGAACGTGGCATGATTGTTGGTGCCAGAAGGGCTGGTCTGAGTATTTCAGAAACTGCTAATCTACTGGGATTTTCACGCACAACCATCTCTAGGGTTTACAGAGAATGGTCCGAAAAAGAAAAAACATCCAGTGAGCGGCAGTTCTGTGGGCGGAAATGCCTTGTTGATGCCAGAGGTCAGAGGAGAATGACCAGACTGGTTCGAGCTGATAGAAGGGCAACAGTGACTGAAATAACCACTCGTTACAACCGAGGTATGCAGCAAAGCATTTGTGAAGCCACAACACGCACAACCTTGAGGCGGATGGGCTACAACAGCAGAAGACTCCACCGGGTACCACTCATCTCCACTACAAATAGGAAAAAGAGGCTACAATTTGCAAGAGCTCACCAAAATTGAACAGTTGAAGACTGGAAAAATGTTGCCTGGTCTGATGAGTCTCGATTTCTGTTGAGACATTCATATGTTAGAGTCAGAATTTGGCGTAAACAGAATGAGAACATGGAACCATCATGCCTTGTTACCACTGTGCAGGCTGGTGGTGGTGGTGTAATGGTGTGGGGGATGTTTTCCTGGCACACTTTAGGCCCCTTAGTGCCAATTGGGCATCGTTTAAATGCCACGGCCTACCTGAGCATTGTTTCTGACCATGTCCATCCCTTTATGGCCACCATGTACCCATCCTCTGATGGCTACTTCCACCATGTCACAAAGCTCTAATCATTTCAAATTGGTTTCTTGAACATGACAATGAGTTCACTGTACTAAAATGGCCTCCACAGTCACCAGATCTCAACCCAATAGAGCATCTTTGGGATGTGGTGGAACGGGAGATTCGCATCATGGATGTGCAGCCGACAAATCTGCGGCAACTGTGTGATGCCATCATGTCAATATGGACCAAACTCCCTGAGGAATGCTTCCAGCACCTTGTTGAATCTATGCCACGAAGAATTGAGGCAGTTCTGAAGGCAAAAGGGGGTCCAACCCGTTACTAGCATGGGGTACCTAATAAAGTGGCCGGTGAGTGTATATACTAGTGGTGAGGAGGTCATGGGAAAGAAAGGGTCTTGAACTACTTTGGTATTATTAGCGCTCTCTAAAGTTGGCTTTGGACAGTACGTTCCTTCCAAATTAGATCCCCTGTCCGCATTGCTCGCGTCTCACCATTGCTTCTTTTCAGATTGCCATGAGCAAAACAGAAGGATGCCCACTACTGTTTTATATGGGGGGAAAGCCATATTAATCATAGCTGCAGCTGCTGCTATAATTAGCATACAGGCAGCAGAGTGAAATGTGTTAAATGTTTTACTCATTTTGAAGGTCCCCACGTTGCCCGTTACTCACTCATGACTGGGGATTTTCTCAGCAAGGCCAAAGTCTCCGACGATCGCAGTGTGGCCATTCTCGTCAGACTTGATCAGGCAGTTCTGAGAGAACATCAAAAGGAAAGATACAGTAACTAGAAAATCATATTGTTCCTCCCACAGGATACCTTACACTTGAGATTCAGTTAATTAGAATCACTTAAACAGAAAGTAATGATGTAGCGAGCAAGCCACAGGGGTGAATCCCACAGTGTATAATTATGGGAAGTCTCAGAAGATAAGACAACACCTGGAGGTAGAGACAGCATGTCAGTGCATGCCACCAACAAGAGCACAGTGAATAATAAATTAAAAGCACCTGTTTCAGTGTTGACTGATATAGTCTTGTTTATAAAGTAACAGCATTAAACCCACAGGACAAGTGTGCCTTGAGTTCATCCAATAATTGCCTACCTTCATGAGGCCAATAAAATTAAGCAATGTAATTACTATTTACAACATTACACTACAAAAAAAAATCTTATTGACCCCAAATATTTTTGAATGTTAGTTTTATTCAGCAGATATGCATTAAATGATCAAAAGTGACAGCAAAGACACTTATAATTCTATTTCAAATAAATGCTATTCTTTAGAACTTTCTATTCATCAAAGAAGAATAGAAAAAAGCAACCATTGTTTTCAACACTGAAAATAAGAAATGTTTCTTGAGCAGCAAATCAGCACGTTAGAATGATTTCTGAAGGATCAATGACTGCTAAAAATTCAGCTTTGCCATTAAAGGAATAACTCAATGCAGCCTTGGTGAGCATACAAGACTTTATTGACAAAATCTTACTGACCCCAAACTTTTGCATTGTAGTGTATTTATTGTGATGATTACCTTGGAGGTGAGATCTCTGTGAAAAATGCCCTTGGAGTGTAGGTAACTGAGGCCCATGGCGATCTCTAAGGCCAGCTTGACCCGTGTGGCCCAGCTCAGGTACTTATTGCTGTCCAGCAGCTGCTCCAAGTTTCCACCATTAATGTACTGAGAAAAGAGAAGATACCACATGTGACAAACATCACTGTTTCAATCTCTTTGACATCCAAAAATGGCCCATATTGTATTCATGAGGTTACATTAGTTAGAATGATGGGACAAAAAAAATGCAATGCACAAGACTTTGAATCTGATAAAAAAAATGTATCTGACATGTACAACAATAATAGGCAACAATTAAATCAAGCAACTTTAATCTTTGCATAATGGGGATTATAATCATTTTGATGGTCACAGTACCTTGTGTTTACAATACAAAAGTGAATTCTATCAGCTTCCTGTGGGTAAAGGTATTCCATGCCAACTCTCCAGTGGATTGGTTTCAAGTCACAAAAGCGTGCAAATTAGCAGAGCCCAGTAGAAGCCCTTTAAGTGCTTCTGTTTCACATAGTGAATTTGCATGAAAGCACCATCTAATAATTAGGCAATTATTCTGCAAGACGCATTAACTATTCTTTTGCAGCTGTGAATGTTTTGTGTGTGATTAACTTTAAAACAAGTCTTTGAGATATTAGTTAATGTGGCGCACATGCTACTCGCTAGAAGCCTGATGCATTCACCACAGGGCACTGGTCTCAACTGTGTCCTAATTTTGGGCTGCCTGAAATGATCTGTGCTGACAGATAAAGGGCTCCACATTTAGCTAACAAAATTAGCCATGGCTGACTAAACAGAGGAGACCTTAGTATGTGGTCAGTGCGGTGAGATATCAACAGGCAGACAAGATGGCTGAGTCAAAATGACTGAACTTTCTAGTTGTTTCCCATAAAGCTTTGGTGCCATGACCTGGCCAGGTTATCAATAGAGCTACACCTTGGCCCTTGAATAAAATGACCAAATAGGTTATGCTCTTGTAGTTTGAGGACTCATTCAAAGGCAAAAGTAAAATCTTGAGGTACAAGTCACTCTCTAGTCACGCTCTTAAAATTTGCTGTATACAGCATAACCTTGAGATCAAGGTTTACAAAAAACACCAGCAAAACATCTGATTATCTGAATTCCCTGGAATTTCAAATTGACAAAATGAGCACTTAGCCCTGTCCCAAATGGCACACTCAGCCCACAGTCCTCAGATGAGTGAGAACACTTTTGTACATGGAAGGTTGGCAACAAAACATATAAAGGGCATATCAAGCACAATTCGCAGGCAGTGGTAATTTATTCTGCAAGCTAAAGTGTCTGATAATAGGTTACTGAGACAAAGCAAATAGTATTTAGCTGGTCGTGATCTCAACAAGATGCCACTCATGAGACGATCTGGTCTTTGTAAAGCATCACAGCTTTTATTAAGTTACTATGACTGGATTTTTTTATCTCATGTGAGTACATGATTTTAAAGTCCCCCTGTGGTGAAAATCAAGCTTTTAAATGTTGTTTATATGTCTATCTATGTGGTGTAAACCCTGTACAAATTCATGTCAACACCATTGCAGAGTATTTTTTCCTTAAAACTGCGATTTTGAGACGGTCTTTGGTTTGCTGTAGTTTGAAATCGCTGGTGTTTCTGACGTCACAAATTACCTTGTAACCAATCACGTCAATGTGTGATCGTCAACAAGTGGATCTCTGAGCTGGTGTGAGTGACTGGAGGCGGGGATAATTTCCATATTAATAGAACCTTGTATATTTAATGAGGCAAGCGTGTAGGGTTACATTCAAGCTATTTTAACCCTCTGGGGTCGGCAAACGCGCCAGCGCGTTTTGCTGGATTTTCTTCACATAGTAGCACAATAGACTTAAATTACTCCGTCATTTATGGTCATACAGAAAATAAATATGAAAAAAGAATCTGACGCCCGTTTCACACATACTCCGTTTGCAGTGCGTATACGGTGCGTATAATATACGGTACAGGAGCAGCACGCGCTATAGTGCTTTCACATATGCTGCGTTTGCAGTGTGTAACTGATCCGCGGCTGTACCACAAACACATACTCACAATTTTTATTTCAAATCCAGAAGTTATGCAGCAACTTTTATTTAAAAAAAAGTTGTCAGCATTGCAATTCTCTTTGTACACATATACAAACTTGAATGGACGTATGCACGTTTAAACACAATTTAAACAACGTAGGCCTATAATTCCATGCATTACTTCTATATATTAAGTTGCTCAAGCAAGAGGTCAAATATTTAACCATGTACTTATATTAAAATCGCAAACATTTTAAATTAAAACTTAAAATTGACAAAAACAGCCGACTCTCATGCCTTTTCTTTTGCATTTAAATTTTAATACAATAAATCTTGCATGTCACAAAGAACTTGTTTTTCCACCTCCACGAATGAGACGAGTGTTGTTCATTATGTCCTTGTTAAGGTAAATTGTAGTTTTCCTTGCTTAAAACCCCGGTCTTAAAGTAAAAAGATCAAAAGTAGTATTTAATTCAATACATTTATTTAGTTTAAATAAATGTAGTTTAGTCCTCAGTTGTAAGTCGCTTTGGATAAAAGCGTCTGCTAAATGACTAAATGTAAATGTATGGTGAGATTACTACATTTTATTGAATTAAATGCATTTATGGTGAAACTACTACATTTTCATGTCAATCTGTGTTCATTTTGACCACGAACCGTGCGCTGTCACTTTAATTCAGCGTTTGCAGCACAGCAAAAATAGACTCGGTGCGTAAACGATCTCTGCACTGCTGTATACGCACCGCACCTGGAACAGATCGCCTGACCGCACCTACGTGCAGTGTGAAAGCTCTAACCTGTTAACATGGGAACGGAAAAAAATACGCACCGCATACGCACTGCAAACGGAGTATGTGTGAAACGGGCGTAAGAGATGTCTACTTTTGTATGTGTCCACTTACAACCAAAACATTGTGCTTTTGTAAAATAAAGAAAATAAACAGGGTGTGCTTTCTGCCTCTTTGTCTCAGTGAACTTTTTTTTCATGAGCAGGTCTATAAACAAACAAAACTCAGCGAACACTTGTCACACATTTATGAGCAATATATCTTTATAAACATTTAAGTGTGTACTTTTTTAAATGCTCTGATTCAAAACGAAAACAAATATTCTCTGTTTAAGTAATTTGTATAAAACCATCAAGATGTCCAGTTTCTCAAACTCTTGCTCATTAGTTTTAATGTGACCACACCCACGAGCGCAAAAGAGATTGACATGCAAATCGTCCACATGAAAGAACGCGAATGCGCTCATTACCTCAAAAATAAAGCACCAAACTTCATCAGTTCTCTGCTTTTCGTCGAGTTTGGAAGACACGCAGTGAGTTTACATTGGATTTAACTCAGAAGAAGAAGAATGCGATTTGAAGACAAGAAAGATTTTAAGGTAAGACATATATTCTGAATTATATTAGTTAGTGTTATTGTTGCATAAACTTCACATTGCAGTTGAACTGTTGCTAGACTAAAATGTATGACATCGATGGAAGCATGTTGAAATATGAACTATAGACAGGCAGACAATCTCCTGAACTCCAAACTGAATGTCAGAATGGGAAAGAAAGTTGATTTTGAGCGTGGCATGGTTGTTGGTGCCAGACGGGCCGGTCTGAGTATTTCACAATCTGCTCAGTTACTGGGATTTTCACGCACAACCATTTCTAGGGTTTACAAAGAATGGTGTGAAAAGGGAAAAACATCCAGTATGCGGCAGTCCTGTGGGCGAAAATGCCTTGTTGATGCTAGAGGTCAGAGGAGAATGGGCCGACTGATTCAAGCTGATAGAAGAGCAACTTTGACTGAAATAACCACTCGTTACAACCGAGGTATGTAGCAAAGCATTTGTGAAGCCACAACACGCACAACCTTGAGGCGGATGGGCTACAACAGCAGAAGACCCCACCGGGTACCACTCATCTCCACTACAAATAGGAAAAAGAGGCTACAATATGCAAGAGCTCACCAAAATTGGACAGTTGAAGACTGGGAAAATGTTGCCTGGTCTGATGAGTCTCGATTTCTGTTGAGACATTCAGATGGTAGAGTCAGAATTTGGCGTAAACAGAATGAGAACATGGATCCATCATGCCTTGTTACCACTGTGCAGGCTGGTGGTGGTGGTGTAATGGTGTGGGGGATATTTTCTTGGCACACTTTAGGCCCCTTAGTGTCAATTGGGCATCGTTTAAATGCAGGATAATGCACCATGTCACAAAGCTCGAATCATTTCAAATTGGCTTCTTGAACATGACAATGAGTTCACTGTACTAAAATGGCCCCCACAGTCACCAGATCTCAACCCAATAGAGCATCTTTGGGATGTGGTGGAACGGGAGCTTCGTGCCCTGGATGTGCATCCCACAAATCTCCATCAACTGCAAGATGCTATCCTATCAATATGGGACAACATTTCTAAAGAATGCTTTCAGCACCTTGTTGAATCAATGCCACGTAGAATTAAGGCAGTTCTGAAGGCGAAAGGGGGTCAATCACAGTATTAGTATGGTGTTCCTAATAATCCTTTAGGGGAGTGTATATATAAATATATATATATATATATTAGTGCTGGGCAAGTTAACGCGTTATTATCGCGTTAACGCATTTATTAATTAATGCCGACAATTTTTTTATCGCGCGTTAACGCAGTTTTTTTAATTATTATTATTTTGAAAGTCCGTTGCTCACTGGCTCTGAATACACATAGGCCTACAGTCAAACCATGATCACAGGAGGGGTGGGATGTTGGTCAGCCAGCAAATAACCCACCCAAACAAGCAGTGGAGAGGCTTTGGCAGGTTCTCTCAGGTGAACAGAAAGGGAGACAGCGCTCCGCGAGTGAATGACAGGCGCTCTATGGATAGTAACCATGGCACCGGCTTCTGTGCGCTACGCAGCTGTAGCCTAGTCTTTTTAACTTAAATTAAAATTATACATAACTTTACCTGATAGGCCTGCGTTTAGTTTAGCGGGGATGCTCTGCATGTGAATTCCCTCCTGTTGATGTCCTGATAACTATTTAGATTCTGGAAACTCACAAACAGCGAGCCGAGGATCAGTCTCTCTTCCAATGAT